TGACTCCGCCAAGCCTTCAACCATGTGTAATTGTGTTTAAAATGATTTATTTCCAAGATTTTGACATTCAAAGCACAGATCTGCTGCACAAACTTCTGTACTGCATCTGTGAGGATGGATTCAATGCAAGACCATAAAAACAGTAAGTCAAAAATGTAAATGAGCTCACTGTCATCCTTGATATTGTGTTTATTTCAGGTCATATCACATCAACTGATCACTTTGAAACACAGTTCACAGCTCTTATTTCAAATATTGAGGCAGATTTAAAGCCCATACTTAAAGCCAGATGATCCATCTGGTCCAGGTCCAACATTGCTTATCATTTTGTAAAAGTGTTTTCTAGGTCTAAACCTGTTTTTTATTTTCAAGATTTTCACCCAAATTACTGTGCTCCCCTGTGGTCAAAGTGAATAACTTTGTAAACTTAGTAAACATCTGTAGTAGTGTACAGTGGCCACTAGAAGGAAGAAATACACATGATTTCAAATGAACATGTCTGGTTCATTGATTATTTGCATTTGTGTGATGAAAAGGTAATGCCTCATAGACTATCTGTGCTGTAAGAGGGTAATTCATGCATAAGTGCACAACACAGCTGTCATTTTAAAGTGACTTTCCAATTCAGAAAGAAAAATGTTGTAAAATGTGATAGGCCTGTAGCGTTTCTCTTTTCTCTTGCCTCAATTAGGCCTGACAGTAGAGTGATGCAGGAATGAGTCGCTTAACACTGATGATGTGTTAGCATTTAAGCACTCCCAGTTCCCTCATCTCAAATTCAGTGGGATTTTTTGAACGGGTTTTTGGTTAGATGCCTGAAATAAGGTCTGCAAGTGTTTGTCGGTTTGTCTGTGACATCAGTAAATACCCCACTCCTAAATTTTGAGGCCTTATGTGTCCTAAAAAAAGACGGTTGCTAGCAAGAAGCTAAATGAGACTACAGAAAGTCATCATGTAGGCCATGTAGCTTTTCAGACTCACTGGGGTGGCGACATAAAGTCATGCAACCATGGTGTAGTTTGTTTATAGCCCATGTGAGCGTTTTATTTCTGGCGATTGCGTTTATGCTTACAAAAATCCTAAAAGTGGTGTTCATTTGTGAAGATTATTTTGCTGAACAAAACTTTTGTTTGCCACAAAGCTTTTTTTTTTTTCAGTAATCCAAATTCCAGTAGAAAAGTCCTATCCGCCTTTTGATGAGAAAACCAAGGCAATGCTAACTTCAGCGGCGGCCTGCAGAAAAAAGTCATCCCTGCAGCACTCTGTGTCAACACTTGTGTAATTAAAATTCATATTATCTCTCTTTTGTAAATGTTTAAGTTTATAAGTACCATAGGGAAGTACTATGTTGTGTTGTGTTTGACCTATCTAGTAAAGTGCAGTTGCTGTTCCTCATTGTAACCACTAGAAAAAAAAGAAAGATTTGTGATTGTAACACACAGGTTGTTCGGCTCATAGGCTGGGTTTGTGTGCAGTAAAGGTGCACTGTAAAGCTGGAGTTATACTTACTTTAACTATGCATTCATGTGCGCATGATCCTACATCCTTTTGGACGTTGGTTGCGTACTTCCTTAGAAAATAATGTGACACCATGTCCACGCGATGCAATGCACTCTGGAACAGTAGGGGTGAGAAACCTAACTGTCGTTGTCACGTCCTTCATTCAGGGGCCTTACAAACCATCTACAATGGCATCACTGTCATTTTTTTTTTTGCTATGATCTTAGTATTAACAATGGTAACCTTGTAATCAATGTCGCCATAACGCAAATCAGGAAGTTCTTTATGGTCTGGGTTCTTTGGTGTGCCCTCAGGTGGAATCCACCAGTAACACAGATAGTACTGTACATAGTGTGAAAACAACTCTATCCATGATGCAGCAGGTTGTCTAAGTGAATGCATGGTTACAAATCAAGTATATCTCTGGCCGATGAAGCTAATTTGTGAATGAGTTTACAAAACAACAGTGCTTGAGAAAAATGCTGTAAGGTTTGTTTAACCTGTTGCTCCTCTCTTTTCTTTTACCTCAGTTCAGTTCTGACCCATCTATACTTTTTGAGTATTTCTGTTCTGCCCTCTCATGGTCTGCATGACTACTTCTGTCTATTGTAAATGTTTTATTTTGGAAGTATCATAAATGTGGTGCGTTTGACCTTACTAATAGCATGTAGTTGCCATTTGTCATTGTAACCACTAGAGGACCTTTGTCTTTTTCTGTTACCTCAAGTTGGTTCTGAAATGAGTGTATTTACATGAACAAGAATAATTATGATCAATATTTTGGAGTACTCTGTTTGTGTTTGAGCATGTTAACACCATATTCCCTTTAAAAAAACCTGAATATGCTAGCTGAATGACACCAGGATGTATACGGGTAATGTGAATAACCCAATTTCTCTGTGCTCATGTAAACAACATATTCCTAATATGATCACAGTCAGGCTAAGCCTCATAAATGGGTTTTTTATTGGTACTTTCAAAATATGACATTAAAAATTTGTAAAAGTAAAGTAGTCTTTTTTCGAGTTGATGATTTTAAAATATCATATTTAGAATGGTGAAGTCAAACACAATAACATATTTTTTTCCGGTTGATACTTTCCAATTGCATTTAAAATTGACCTGTACTTGCACAGTGTGGCCACCAGAGGGCAGCAACTACTTCTTTAAAGCATCCCTGTGTTATCTGTTATTTGTTTGGTGAAGCCTCTCTCTGGCTGTGAAGACTCCCTTTATTGTGCATCTAAAGGTGAAGCTGCCATCTTAGTTTACTCATCGAGTTATCTGAAAATGGCAAATAAAGTGGATGATAATACCAGGCCCCTGAAAAGGAAGCTGGAGCTGAAGCGCAGTTCCATTTTACTCCAGTCCAGTAGGGGGCGGTAATATTCTTATTAGTTGGCTTCCAACCGCCGATATAAAAAAGCGAAGAAGCAGGACCAACTGCCGTCACTTGGTTGCTGTCTGCTGCGACTGAAACATTATCGGTGAAACTGGTAAGATTATATTTTGTATTTCATTAATATGAAGTTTATTTTTGTCATAAGTTATAGATTATTGAAATGATAACTGCTTTAACACCAGCTTCTGTAACCTGCCGCTGTCTTGCTAATTAACGATGTTATAATTCATTGCTACGAATTGTCATATACTATACGTTAAACTTTAATTCGGTTCGATTAACGCTTTGAGTAACAAACTGCGGGAGCTGTTTGTGAATCTGAGTGGTTTATTAAAATTTTAGACCCCTGTGGTGGCTACATGGTATGCCGAATTCAACACTGTGACATGCGGCTACGACTGAAAGCATGAGGCCTCTAACAGGGCACATATTGTCTACTGTTGAACATGGCAACTTTTAACTCACGCATTTCTGAGTTGGGTTTGGTTGTCGACCGTCGCCGCCGTTTGCCGTAGCATACACCAGCAGCTGATGTAGGCCGACAGTGTGCGGCTATCTCCACGTGGTAAGGCTACATTAGCATTGTAGCTAACAGTATGAAGAAAGTCAGTTATCAAAAGCTAAATAGCAGCCCAACATTAATGCATTTTATAACGCGTATAGTAAATTAAATGTCCATTATATATTATCTAAAACCATATGTGTATGTAGCTGCCCATCTCCCCTGATGACTTGCACTGGGCTCTGAGTCTGTCTGAAGACTAACGTGCATCTTTGGCCTTGACAAGCCAGAGTTTCTGAGGAGAAAATGAATTCAAGTTGATCAAAGTTTATGGTGATGACAACGCAGTAACATACTTTTTGTGCTTTCAGGTCACAAGTGGAGCCACTCCTAGACTGGACTCTACTGCAAACAAAAGTATGTAAAATCAAAGTATCCTCAAAATTAGAAATGCTCTCGCACAGCTTTCTCAACACTTTTTTTTATTAATAAAATGTTCATAATTATGAATTTTAACCACTGGAGGGCAATGAACACTCATTTTACACTTCACTCTTATGAACTCTGAGTCAAAACAGGCACAGCTGCATACTACATTATTAATAATAATAATAATAATAATACTTTAAAATTGGCAATTGAATAGCCCTTGTTCGGGTTGGTCGAGGGATTTAAGTGTGCTGTGCAAAGCATTGATGCAATTTGCCAGTTTGTCTTCATTGTAAGTCAACTCTGTCAAGTAGTCTGCTTTGAGCGCAACATCACTATGGAAATAGTAAGATGATTTAACACTTATATACTAAATGTGAAGTTTGTTTTGATAAGAGCTAGGAAACTATCAGAGTGAAGCCAGATAGATTTGTGCATGTCGGCTACTGCAACCAGTGCCATTTTCATACATTCCTTCAAACTTGAGTGTATGTAGCTGTCCCTCTCCCCTGATGACTTGCACTGGGCTCTGAGTCTGTCTGAAGACAAAAGTGCATCTTTGGCCCTGACAAGCCAGAGTTTCTGAGGAGAAAATGAACTCATGGTGGTCCAAAGTGAAAATTATGACAAGACAGTAACTGTTGCTTTGTATTTTATTTTATTTATTTATTTTTTTATTTTTTTCCAGGTGTTAAGAAGAGAAGCCACTCATAGACAGGATTTGCATCAGGTTTGTGTTTTAACGCTTGATCTCTTGGCTTTTAGTAGCAGACACTGTGTGAATGGTGATCTCTTGTGATGGATAGCACTGGGCTCAGAAAATCATTGGTGACAGAAGTGCATCTCTGCCCTTGACAAGGCAGAGTCTGATGAGACAATGGCTATGTGTATATATATTTTTTTTTTAAACCTTGTATGATTGTGACTATTCTGACTGCTCTTTTCCTTCTGTTACAGGTACTGGTCCTCCCACAGACATCACCTGCTTTATAACCATTTTATGTTTCAATGTTTTTTTTGTTAATTTTCAAATCTTAATATTCTGTATTTGCTCTGATTAAATTAAATCCAATAAAACTGTGCATCTTAAGTTGTTTCCTCACTTTTGTACAAATACACTGAGTAAGGGGTGGCAAATTATTGATGTGATGACTTATGACCCTTTCAGCTGTTGGGTTTGTCACTGTGACATGATTCAACTGCAGCATTTATGAATGTGTTGCAGTTTGACTGTTCTGTAGACTGACTCACAGTACTGACAACCTCATACTGAAATGGACTGATTTTGATCAAATGACAAATCCAAAACTTGTGAAGATGAGATCCGCTGTTATGAGCAATGCTGGGTAACTCTAGTGTTTTGTATATTCATACTTTATGGGTACCTGTACCAAAGTAAATAAGAGGGAGGAAGACAAACAGCTGGTAAATAAGGGGCTGACAACTTTGTTTGAGGGGGACTTTGAAATGAAATTCTTACTTTTCAGGATACAGTGGAAACAATGTTTATAGCAATAAAATTGTATCATTTTAAAATCGTGACATACCAAAATACGAAGACCATAATGTTGTGTACATTGTTACTGTTGCTAGAGAAAATCCTTAAGCTAACCTTTAATGTCATATTTTTATACCTGTGGCTATAGAGTAGTTGTGTTTTTAATTATCTAATACTGAGTAACAGTTCTGCAGTGGATCCAATGTGACCTGAAGATCAAAATTTTTACTGTGTACATCAGGCAGTATACTATATGAACAACACTGGCAAGCTATTGAATGTATGCGTAACATCAATTATTGTACGTGAAAGTTTAGATTTTATATGAACTTATATTTTTAAGTAAAGTTTTAACACAGTTCGGCTTCTTTTGGTTAAGTAGCTACTGTGAAAAGAGAGACTAAGCTTGAAGGTTTACTGTACCCTGAAATTATTAATAAGAGTAATTTAAAAATGACAGGTTGTAATTTTTTTTCAAGGTCCCTCTTTAACACAAAATTGTTACCTACCAATAGATACCTATTAAGTATTTCATTGGTACACTATCTACAGTGTACTCAGTGGGATGTCATTTTAAGTATTACTGCAACACTGTCAGCCCAAATAGCTTAAAGGAATACTTCACCTACAAAAATGACAATTTTTCTATATATATAAAAATAGATTTGAAATCACCTGAGTAACCAATTTGACCTCAATCAGTTACTTAAAATGGTACAACAGTACACCACACCCAAATTTGTGAACCTACACAGTCTGTCAGTGGCATATGTTTAGACACCATAGTGTCGCCCCACAGGTAAACATCAGTGTCCAGATGGAAATTAAGCATAATTCAGTCAAGAAATCAGAAAACATAAATTACAACTTTGTTTCTGTATCTTTATTATAATTCTAACAATTTATTATCTCTTAAAACATTTGAAATTCATATATGTTTATATGAATGTGTGTATATGCATATCACATATACATATATATTCTGTAAGTTACCTTTCATCAGTTCATATTCTCATTTTTTAAAAGATCTCTTAAAGGAAAAAGAAATGCTTTCTATAGAGTCAGACCGATTCCCTCTGATTTTTTTTTTCTCCTGACAGCAGTGGCGAGCCACCATATCTTGATTATAACTTCTAAATGCAAAGAAAGGATTAAAAACAATTCCCCAAAAACTGTTTCTCTGCGGTCACTTAACGAGAACATCATTGTAGCAGTAAGAGATGTTTTCAAAATGTCTTATCCAAAGTTATTATGGGCCCTGTTTACACTAGCAAGCGTTTTAGAGACCTGATAGAAACAAGGAGAATCTGGGAGCCACATTCTGCTTGTTCACCATTTCAGAAACATGCCCCCTTTTTGGCTGAAAATGACTTCAAAACCTTTAAAGGGAAATGTGAAAAGCCACAGTTGCTAATGGAAATAGGGTCATTGCATAATATGCTGGTAATAAACAATGAGCTGTGAGCATACTGGCACATGTCAGCGACTGCAGAAGGTGCTTTGTACAAACAAGGAGATGCAAATGATGAGCGAGAACAGACTGGAGCTCTTAATACTGTCAGGCTATTAACAGTGGAAGGGAGCAGATGTAGAGAACGGGTCGAACTGTATAGAAAGCAGAACAGTTAAATAAATACATTGTACCTTTTCATGTTAAATATTATTTGGAAGACAGAGATTCTTTAGAACTTTTGAGACTTTTTTCTTTTTTTTTTTACATCTTAAACCATAATTAGATGACCATTGTTTTCATCGTCCTTATTGCTATTTCCTTTGCATTCAAATATAATCTCTCCTTGACCACCAGCACAAAGCAAATACAGAGACAAATCCACTTTTACTCATTCACAAGCCTGTGTGTGTGTGCACTTTGAGCAACGCTATCTATGAAATCTCATTTATCTTTTTGCAAAAACAGACTGAGGAGTAGCAGGGCCGCAAGGGGAGTGGACTCCCCCATCAATGCCCCAATGTAAAACGCATGTTTGATATGTGTTCGAGGACTCAAAAGCAGCAGGAGAGGTGAAGCGTTGTTCAAGGTAGAGAGGTCATGAGAGAGCCCTTATATTTGATCTCAGCAACAGTGAGAAAAGCAGGACTGAGGTTTTAATGAGATGTAAATGTGCAGTGATGGCAATATGGCACATGGAGACATGGGAAAAGCATATTTGTGAATGTTATCAATCAAAAAAACGGGGTAGCCGGAATTCAAAAATACATTTAAAGTTAAATAAAGTGATATATAATTTTCACTTATGTGTATCATGGGCATCCCCTAGAGTAACACTTGCTACACACTCAGTATCTGCATATAAGTGCCGACTAACTTTTTAAAAGAGTGAGAAAATCATATTTTGAGGCCATACACGTGTCATTTTGATTAAAGCTTCACAGTCTGACAAAAAGAAAAACAGCAAGGAGAAAGGAAGTGTTTCTAAAATGTGCTTCACATTAAGTTGCAATGCTTCTCGTCATACAGAAGCAATGTTAAGGGTACCGTGCACTAAATAATATGCATCTTTCAATTCAAAAATACCTATATATACATATATATTTATCTATATAACCAACACGATTATCTTCATCACACAGTCAGAAAATGCGCCGACTGCACACGAGCGCCACGTCAGCCACCAGAGGCAGAAAGCAGGAACTCTCTGAAGCTGTAATAACAGTAAGGACGATGAAAGTAATGATAAATAGTAACAATAAATCTCTTCATATCAATATCAGTATTCCAGTATTCCCATTTAAAGTTTAAAAATTGTAAGAACAATCATAGTATTAAAACTCGATATAAGCGTTTTTCTGTCAGATCCCCTCGGCCCGGTGGCTGCTTGTTTCCTCCTGGATTTTGTCGAGAGAGAGGGGGGGGCCACTCCTGGAAGGAGCAGGGGGGGATTGGGTGGGGAAAGAGCAAGAAAATGGCAGTTTTTCCTCTTCCCCTCCCCCCTCTCCTTTCCAGTCTCCCTCGGTGGATGGAAGGTCTCAATGGTTGTACAACAGTTGCCTCGACGCTGAGGAAGTCTTTCTCAGGAAAATCGAATCCTCGGGGGGATTTCTCTTCGCACTGTCACATGTTCCCGTCTAACAGTTGAAAGCACAGTCTGTCTCCTTTTGTGGATCCAAACATATAGTGTGTCTATATATAAGGTGTCCCATAAACTCTAACACAATCACTCGCAAGTGCTTGTGTGTATGTGTGTCTACATGTTGGTGTATGCATGCAGGCATGTATAGAAGTAACTCGGGTGCCTGTGTGTGTGTATCAGTGTTTATTTTTTTATATATTTTGTTGGTCTGGGCACTTATTTTTGCTACAAATTTGTGATACAGTGACCAGTCTGTATATATGTCATTATAAGACTTAAGATGATAAAGAGCTATAGAGAAACACAGAACATCCTGATCACAGGACCTGCAGTGAAGACAGAGCCCTACCAGTGGTGAGGTAAAAACAAGACGTAACCAATCCAAGCCGAACACGCAGCTGGCCTCCTCGGTTTGAGCCGAGGACACAAGTTTTCCGTCTGAGCCCTCTTCACCTCTAAAAGACGTGGAAGCTGTCATGATATACTGCCCTGCGTCGTCCTACGTTCGCCATGCAGACAGACAAAGCCTTGCACCTGCAGACACTCACCCCCATTCACACTCAGATATTCATCGATGATATTCAGACACGGTTAAAAACTAGCATCCACTCACACGGGGAGGGGTTGTCATTGATTGCACTCTAAATACTCTTGGTGGGTTCCACTCTTAAACCTGAACAGATTTAACCAGCCAGCTGAAGGGTAAGAGGACTATTCAACAAGATGGCTGCACGATGAAGGACACCTCTATCTTCTCTAGCTCACCAACAACACAACTTGCTCAATTTTTTTTCAAAAATCGATCTGGCTTTTGTTTGTTCCTCTCAAGTATTTGGTTCGGTTTCATTCGTGATATATGCTGCAGCCATGGTGTTTTCATATGCATTTTGGATGAAAGTGTGTTTGTGTTACTTGTTTGTCGATTGGTGTGACCGTGCATGCATGTGGGGAGTGTACTTGTGTAAATCAGCCTGCCACAACTGGGGAGCGCCAGCCGGTGTCTTTATGGATCGTCAGCCCTTTTTCCATCCCTGTGTTTCCATCTCCCTTTGGGACTTGACTCCCTCTTTCTGTCGCTCTCTGTGTGAAATCTGTTCCCCCCTCATTTGTTGTGTGAATCCACCATGGATAGCAGCAGTTGTGTCTTCCTCCCTCATTGACTCCAACCCCTCCTTCTTTCTTTCTCTCTCTCTCTCTTTCTCTTTCTGCCTCTGCGTTTGCAACCTCAGCTCCGACTCCCATCGTCCCTCCTCCTCTCTGTCTGTCCTTCCCGAGGTGAGAGAACAGAAATGGGAAATGGGCTGCTGGAAAGCCTGAGGACAGAAGAACAGACATAGGACACAAGTGATGTTTTTTTTTTTTTAAATGATAATGAATGGTGTTTGTTGCTTTGTAGCACAGTTGTGCTCTTGTGTGAGTCCTGCAAGTGTGAAGAATTCTTTGTTCATTAGGAGAGTATGGTGACTCTTCTGCTGTGGTTTCACCACATGACTGATTAGACTTGGAAAAAAACAGGTCATCACACACATGGTGACTGACAACAGCTGGGTTTATTTCTTCAGCTGCTTTGCAATGCTATACACGCCTATATAACATTTATCTTGATGTTTTAATATGTTTTGCCCTTTCTATGGAGGTATGCTTTCCCCTATCAGACTGTGTTGTCCAGCTCTGCTCTGATTGGTCCAGTTTGAGAGCAGCTTGACCCTCAAACATTCAGATCACAACCACCCGAGTGATGGATGTGTTTGCTTCTTTATTGTCTTTTATATTACAAATTTTATGACATTTTTATGACATTCCATTTCAACTTTTTTGTCATACTATGTTTTTATGACATTTTGTGACAAATTATATTATGATTTTTTTTATTGTATACTATACTATGACTTCTTCTATAAGTTAGCATTTAAAAAAAATATATTTTTATGACATAGTGGGGGGCTGAAGTGGGCCGGACCAGTAAAACCACTGCATCATAACCTATAAATATCAACCACTTCAAAAATTTCTTTCATTCTGAAAAAAAGAAGAAGAAAGAAGAAATAAAAAATTATGTGCAAATTCAACAGTGTGTCTTAGTATTTCCACATCCAATCAGTCTACTAATCACTTTCATTACATGTGACTTTTTAAAAAAATTTTCCACTAAAGTTGAAGCATTGAAGAAGCAGGTTTAGTCATCCTCTGCATTACAATCTTAGGTTTTGTCAGTGCCTCAGCAGCAGGGTTCCACTAATATTGTTTAAAGACAGAAGTATGATACAGATTCTTTTGGACTGAAGCTGCTGGTTGATAATATGTTGCACAATGTTCAATATCTTTAAATATGACCATAGAAAGTACTTATTGTTATTTCAGAGAGCTGTGTTCTGGTCAGAGTGGAGAAGCCTCTAAGGCAGTATTTTACATTAAGTACCTGGTCACTGTTTAAATTGTTACTGAAACCTCTCAGCCTTCACATGTGCATCAAAATTATGGGCTCTAGTTTCCCGGCGCGGCAGGCGCAGGGTGGCGAACTCCGCACAGAGCTAGTTTCGAGCAGCGCAACCCGAGGCGCGCTCAGTTTGGTAGTTTGGCAGACCGAGGTGCGCTGAGATGGGTGTGGCGGCGCAGCAGGGGGAGGTGTCGACAGATTTAGCTTGTCGCAGTGACAGTTTCGTGCCAAAAGGCTTCGCCGAAGGTGCGCTAAAAGCTCGCCAGCTGAAACCACGTCCAGTGTCAGCGCAGGCAGAGTGCAGACGGTGTAAGCTGAAGTTTGGCTGACCGGCGGACAGTGCGCACACGTCACCAAAACCTCACAGGCAGGTTTCCAGAATATCAGGCACATTAATAATGCAATAAATACCCAAAAAAACACTATTCAATGCAACTATCTGCAATCAGCACATAAATGTATCTCTATATCGTCTGTCCCGTCACATCTGATGTCAGATAAAAGGGGATTGGCACCGTTTGGCACACGTAATGGAAACCCAACCTGATTTGATTAACACAGCTGCAAACTAATGAGTTCACATCCCTCTCAGCCAACCACAAACAGCCACAGCATCAGATAGGGAGTATATATTCAGCATCTGTCATCTTAGAAAAGTCAAAAGAAAAGAAACAGAGTGAGACTGCGAGAGAGAAAGAGAGAGCGCACGCGCACACGAGAGAAACGCAACATTGATTTACAATTGTGGTGACGTCCTCCCAGGCTACCTTTGCATCATCAGCCCGTGGAGGTCTGCTCGCAGTTCTGTATTTTCGGACACTGCTAGCTTGGACCTCCCGGACCAAAACATTAGTTTCCTTCTTGGAGAAGTTTGGCCGTCTGACGCTGCTGCTCTCTTCTGCCATGGCGAATTGAGTAAACTCTCATTACGCCTTCGCGCAGCGCATTTAAGGGCGAGGAGAGGGGCTCATTTGATTGGTGTGATATGTGTAAAACCCACTCCACGCCTTCTCTCCTCCCTCTTTACAACTTGCGGGAAAGAGGAGTAGCTGCGCCAGCGCACACGGTGTGCCAAACTTGCAAAATCCGCCTGGCCACACCCAGTTGGCGAAGCGCAGGTGCGCTGCGCCCCCACCTCGCCCGGTCTGCGAAACTAGAGCCCTGAGTGTGCAAAGTCATCTAGTGGGCCGGATTGGATCCTTTGGCGGGCCAGTTCTGGCCCCTGGGCCGTATGTTTGACACACCTGACATAGTGTATAATGAGATTTGACTTTACTATGACTTTTTTATGTTTTTATGGGATACTATACTTTTACAAAAAACCAGTGTAGTGTGTATTGGTATTAAAGTTATTGTAAAGTATGCCATAAATAAAATAATTTAAAAAGTATTACATGTCATAAAAGTCAAGTCATAATATACTATGCTATTCAAGTGTCATGAAAATGGCACAGTATGTTATGTCATTAAAAAAAAGTCATATAAATGGTGTAGTATGCCATAGAAAAAATAATTAAAAATGGTGGTGTAGTATATCATTAAAAAGTCATTATGTTGTATGACGAAAATGTTTTTTGTTGTTTGTTTTTAAATAGAGTATGCCATTAAAATTTCATAAAAAGTCATGGTAAAATATGCCACTAAGATTAAAAAGTTGTAGTAAAAGTTGTGCCATAAAATATGGCATGAAAAATGTCATAGTATAGTGTGCCATAAAAACTGTTACGGTAAAGTATGCCACAAAATTCATTTGAAAAAAAGTTATACTATATTATGACATATATGACATAAAAAGATTATACCACAGTTTGTCGCAATAAATGTCAGAGCACACTATGCCATAAATTAGAATTACTGCCTGACAATTGTACTGTAGGCCTCCACCGACCTGTGAAGTTACATTTTACATGCATGGCTGTCCAAGCTTATATGTAGTTAAGACTTTGAAAGACGGCAGTAAGGTAGTAAGTGTATTTTTTGGCATAATTGACGTCATCACTATATTAACAGGGATAATTCCAGTAAATAATTTCCAGAGGGAAACATGCTGTCTTCCCTTGAAGCCTGTCTCTATAGAGGAGTACAGAGGACTGACAGGGAACCACTGAGCTTGTAGTTGACCATCAGCTGAACATTATAGAACACAAAGTTCTAGCTGTGACAGAAGACAGTACTTCAAATGATGCTACATATTTAAAACGTCGATGCTTCACACACATCCTCAACCCGGCTGCAGAGAATATCTATACAATCACCACAGTTTAAAATTAGTGTCACCAATTCAGTATCCAACCAAATGTGCTCCCTTCTGTTCCTGAGTTATGACTTTGAATACTGGTCAGAAAAGTGAAGCTGAATGTTATCCTTTGGATATAAAATGTCATCACTTTTTCATTTTTTATTATTACTATTAGCGATTTATGTAAAATGTTGTCATAACCAGTGTGTGAATTTTTGAGTTATGGCCAAAAATGTGTTTTGTGAGGTCATGGTATGATGATATGCAGTGCTGTAAACTGAAGAGTAGCAAAATAACCTATCGACCAGTGGTGTCCAAACCTTTTTTGAATGGGGGCCAGATTGGATAACGTGAAAATACCTGGGGGCCAGCTGCTTCTCACATCATATGGGTTATTAAAAAAGCACATACAAATAAGACTGACTCAACTGTTTCATTTTCTATTGAGTTGCAGCCCTACCTGTCCATTACGGTCCTCAGGGCCCGTTCTATGTTCATGCGGTGGCCTACACGCGTCACACCCAGATCCAGATAGTCGTCCTTGGTCAGGGAGGGAAGGTGGGTTCCGTCAATCTCGTTGTCCAGGAAACGCTCTCTGTGCTCACCCAGGTTCAGGTATCCTAGCCAGTCTGCAACATCATACTTGGTCCAGTAGGGCAGCGGCTTGGAGGCAAAAGGCTTTGTAGGGGAAGGGGGCGGTAGATGGGGGTAACTCAGGCATGTAGGTGGAGGGAGGGGGTGCAGGGGCGGAGAAGAGGTCCCAGAAAGGAAGTGAGTTGGAGAGAGGGATCGAGAAACAACTAAGGTGGAGTTTGGAGGAGGAGGGGCACCGGAGGGGGCAAAGAGAGGAGGAGAGGGCGAAAAGTAAGGATCTCCGAGAGGGTTCCCAGGTGATGGCGGGGTGATTGAACCTCGGAGGTCGTACATGGCACTGTATAGAGGTGTGGTGGGGAGGAGCGGAAGAGATGATGGCCGTGGTGGACCCAGCTTGGGTCTCTCTGATGGGGAGATGAGGGGGCTGGGTGCTCGCCTACGCTGGAGCATGTGTGATTCTGCTTTGCGAGACTCGCGACTAGGGATGAACTGGAATTCTAGGGCTTTGGTCCGGTAGACAGGTCTGTGTTTGGGGGAAGTGGGGTATGGGGAATAAGATGTAGGGGACAGCGGGGAATGGGAACGTGGAGGCTGAGAGGCAGCTGGAGGTTGAGGAGATGGGGACCGTCCCCAGTTTGGGTACTGGGAGGCAGGGGTGGGGGACGGGGATAACGATGGCTGCGATAAAGAGATTGGAGATGGTGACTGGGATCGGGCTGAGGGGGGGCTCAGAGCTGAAGCTGAATCCTCTGAAAATCTGTGAATGGAGAGGGAGAGAAATTGTTAAAAGAAAAAAACATGACAGAAAAACATGCATACACATTAATGACCATGTTTGTAAAATAATGTCCAGCAATTTTTAGAACCTGTCGATTAAATGATTTTATATGGTCAACATCTTAATTTTGTACAGTGTAGGGGTGGGGGGGTCCATCAGTCTTGACTGATGTATCGATTCAGTGATCAGCAATCCAGTATCATTGATGCAAAGTGAAAACATCGATCCATATCATCATCTTTAGGTTAAGCCTGTATTTTGAAACTCTTTCACCATCAAACCGCAGCAGGCAAAATAATGCCAAGCAGCCGAGAAAAAGACATTTTTTAACATCATTTACTCAGGATTAAATCAGCAGCGTGGAAATATTTTGGATTTCAGAGAAAACACCAGTCAACAGACAAAGCACATGTCATATGTCAATTATGCTGTTTTAAGATAAAATACTCAGGAAATATAATGGATCTGCCTGGCTGGGCATCTCACTCCACTAACTTCTTACTACTGCAACATTAGCAGCTCTGTTTCAAAAATGTTTGGCTGAAAAAACAAGCATGCAGGCTGAAATTCAACCATGCTGCTCTGTCAGGACACTCAGTGACTTAAACCAACGGTGAGTAAGTATGTAATGAGTAATAAATATGTTTTAAAGCTGTTGGGAGAAGTTAGACTTCAGGACTTTCCACCAGATAAACCTGAAGTTTTAAGAAAAAGATGGTTTGGGTTGAAATGAAAAGATTTCTTTCAGATATCATTTTCTGACAGAAAGCCCTGAAGGTTGACTTGACCCATGTGCTGTTTTATGTGTTTTGGTGGTGTCAGTTTAAAGGAAATCAGCTACAGCTATTGATCATTATTTATATGTTGTCTTTTATGGCCAAAAAGAAAAAGAATGGGTGGCAGTTTTTTCTGTAACCTACTGTGATATATGGGCACATGATATTGCACATATCGATCACAGGCCCCTGAATAGAATCAAACCGAAATCGTATTGTGGCAGACTATTGGCAAATATCGTATCATTGTCCAAAGAATCAATATAATATCGTACCATGACGAAAATAGTGATTTATACCCCTGCTACAATCAAGTCTATCAGTTAACATTATTATGTTTCACGTTTAACAAGGTTTCCTCTTCTTCCTTACTGTCTCGCAACAGGTTGTAATTTCAAGCAGGTGTCAAAGTTGTATGTTCTTCCTGACAAAAAAAGGAGTGTGGAAGTGGCTATATTACCTGTGTCTGCTTCTGAGAGAAACATGGAAAAAGCCAGAGAAATAAAAGGAGTGGTTTACACTGCATAGACACAACACTTACACAAGACATAAACAGACAGTACACAATCTTTTACAGAAGACTTGAACATCAATCGTGGGAGGTAAAGAACTCACAGGGGGCACACTGATACATTCACACAGGCGCAACATGAATACAATGACAATGTCATGCATCAACAACAACAAAACATGTAGTTCATGCTGTGACACTGAAAAACATGAAGCCAAAGTTTTCACTGATGTGTACCTGTGTCTGCTCAGCGGTCTCTGGCTACTCCAGCTGTCCTTGGTTCTTTGCTGCAGTTTACTGCTCAGCTCATTGATAATGCTGGGCTTCATACTGGACGCAGGAGGGTAAATCTTCTTCCCCTCTAAAAGTTGCCCCGACTGGTCCATCTGCCCCTCGCCCCAAAGAGGCTTCATCTCAGGAGTGCGGGGGCGATCAAAGTACGGTGAAATAGGACGTCCCAAATTCTGCACGTCCCTCACCCCATACCCATCCCGGCCACTTTCATCCATTCCCTCCTCGGCCTCGTCCTCCTCCTGCTCATCCCTTCGTCTGTGGGAGTGGAAGGATGCAGGAGCGGTGCTGGTCTGTCTGTGTAAATCACCAGTGCGACCTCCCTCTCTGAACCTGTTGGTTTTTGGGTAGGTGGAGGCTGCTGCTGTGGCATTCTGCATCTCAAAAGTTTGTCCATCCAGGTAACTCATGTAAGACTCCAGAAAATCTCCTCCCCTGTCTGATTCCCCTGTCCCACCTCCCCCTCCCATCCGTCCTCCTCTATCACCTCGGTCCAGCCTCTCGCCCCGGACACCAGCCAGGATGCTGTCCAGGTGGTGGTCACTGCTGCTGCGGCTGTCCAGTTCCTCAATTCCAGAGTCCACCACCGTCTCCTGGGACTCTCCTTTCTTGGTAGCAGGGGGAGGACGGTGGTGCTCCCCTGTTCTGCGACTGCCTGCAATGGTGGAGGAGGATGTTGTATGCGTGGTGTGTGTGCGCTCCTGGTAGAGCTGAGTGGAGGTGCTTGTTGTGGTGGCAGCAGTGGTGGTTGTAGCGGCACAGCTAGCGGTCGTGGCATGTGAGTCAGTGCCCCTATGTGGAGCAGAGGTGGCAGCAGTGGAGGTGGGCGCCGGGGGACCACGGTAGGCCGGGGGTGGCGCGACTGTGTGTGGGGGAGGTGTGGGGGAGGAGCGCCCAGGAGTGTGAGAGCTATTGTAAAGGTGGTGGGGGTGGGACATAGAGAAAGGTCTGTGATAAGATCCGGGAGGAGGTGGTGGTGAGACTGACGGGGGAGGCGGAGGTCCTGCTATCGAGGTGGGCTGCAGAGTAGAGGGTGAGTGAGGGGGTGGAGGGTTGGGCGACGTTTGGGAGGGAGAGGGAGCCGACTGAGTCAGGTTAGCCACCTCACTGTCATAAGATGTGAGGCTGGAGGCAGTGGAGTCCCCTGCCTGAGGTGAGGGCAGGGGTGTATGAGCAGGAAACCCGCTTGTAAATGGTTCTTTTTGGGGGGGTGGAGGGGGTGGTGGTGGAGGAGGAGGCGGAGGTGGAGGGGGTGGAGGAACCTGCTGTTGGCGGGAGGCCAGGCTGTTGGGGCGCATCCCGTGTTGTGAGTACCCTGACATTGCCCCAATTCCCCTGTCGAAGCTGTTGGCAAACTCTAATGGAGGTGGGAGAGGGTCTGCGTAGACAAACTCATCGTCTGCATCAACTGAGGGAGCAGGGGGAGGAAGAACCATCAGACCAGTCCCAGTGCTCCCAGTAGTGTTCGTTGTCTGCTGAGTACTGGTAGGTGGAGGAGAGGGAGGGGTGAGGGACAAGACATAGGCATCAGATTGACTTTCCATCCTAAGAAATGAGGGCCTCCGAGGCGGTTGAGACTGGGATGCCTGCTGAGCAGCGCTTTCAGCAGCTGCTGCATTGGCAGCAGCCTGTTCTGCCCTCCTCATATAACCCTCTCTCTCTTTGTCCCTCTCTCTTTCTCTCGACAGTTCCCTCTCCCGTTCCCTAGACCTCTCCCGCTCCCTTTCCTTATAGCTTGGCTGATACGGCTGAGACTGGTAGTGGTGCGTATGGACCGTTTTGTCCTCAGAGAAACGAACTCTTAGCCCCTCACGAGCCCCTCCTCCTTCCCGTTCCCTCTCTCCTCCACCACCTTCCTCACTCCACACACTTCCAACTCCTCTGAGGATTCTGGGCGAGGGCGGGCGGCCAACAGTGGCCGTGGTGGCAGCCAGAGAAGACGAGGTGACCAGGTAAGAGGAGCTGGAGGACTGAGCGGCGGATGACACCGGCTGAGAGGTGACAGCAGACGAAGGGAAAACCACACTCGACATCTGGCGGGTGAAGTGGTGCTCTGGTCCCCTCCTTAACCTGTTGTCATCCCTCAGAGCACGCTCTCTGGCAGCCAGGGCGAGACCTAGTGGTGATGTGGGGTCAAGAGCCTTTCCTGTTAGAGGGTGAATGAAGGTGGTGGAACTGGGCTGTGCTTGCTGCCTACCTGCTGCTGTGTACAAGTCAGTAGGTACAGACTTAGGCTGATAGTCTAGGGCAGGTGAGGAGTACTCAGGTAGGCCAAAGGCTGGAGGCATACTGCGGGTGTGATGGATAAAAGTGTCCCCAGAGAACATGCCCTCATCGATAGACTTGGATGGGCGCAGCCGTGTTGATGAACTCTCAGCCTGTGTGCTAAGCTGTTGCTGTGACACTTGAGTCCTTGTTAATCCATCACTCACTCCTCCAAGACTCACATCCTCCTCAGCAGACATAAACAAGGAGGCACTCTTTCTGCGGGCTTCATGAAACCGTTCCCTGTCTCGACGAGCTGCACCAACAATGGCAGCCCCAAACTGGCTGGTAAAGTCCAGATTATCCTGGGCTCGCATAGAAGGCAAGGATGGAGGTGGTGGAGCTGGGATGGAAGGTGGGGCAGGGGGCTGTGGAGCAGGAGTGGAGGGAGGATGGGGTGTTTTGGCATCATCTGTCTCCCCTGATGCAGGAACATCTGCCTCCACACTGCTGCCCTGGCTGCTGCGTCCACTGCTGCTGGTTGAAGGGGCCTTGACAATAATGGTGGGGATGGGGATGGAGCTTTTCTCCATCGAGCCTTTACCCCCCAGTGTACCCTGGCCCATGCGCAGGTCCTCTACCTTGGATTGCTTCACAAGGGGGCCCTTACCTCTCCGGGCCCCTCCTTTAGGACCACCTGCTCCAGCCCCAGCTGCACTGCGGTCTGCTCGCTGGGGTTGACTCTGGGTAGTCTGTTGTTGCTGGGGCATTACAGTGGCTATGCTGGATGGGGGGACAGCGGTGCTGTAACCTCTCCTAAGACCGGCTGCTTTGGCCCCTCCACCAGCCCCTATGCCAGCTCCAACAGGCTCCCCAGTATAGGCAACCTTCCGCGAAGCAGTCCTGCTTTGAGCAGTATGGGCAGCTGCGTGTGCATACTGGGTTGTGTGGTCCACCGCTCCACCACTGGGGCCAGTGCTGGGACCACCTGCCCTTTCCCTGCCGCCATGGGTGAAGTGCACTGACTGGGCGTAGGGCTGATAGTGCGCAGAGGTGGATGTGGACTGGGACACGGAGACAGAAGGCTGCTGAGATGACTTTGCTCTCCAACCTAGTGGTGGAGCAGAGGAAAACGGAGGGTCTGGTGGAGCTGTAGTGGGAGGAGGAGGGATGTCGTCTGGGCCAGGCACCGACAGACTGCGGGCAAACTTCACGGCTGGAGGATGCAGGTACTGCCTCTCCTCCTCAGGCACCCCTGCAGTACGGCATTCACAAATGGAGAAAAAACAAATTGGATTGAAATAGGGATTTACAGATGGTGTAGAGTGAGAATAAGAGAGGCTGATGAACAAGAAAAGAAGAAAAGTTCTGGGGCGAATAAGAGCAGAGAGGAAATGGAGCCAGAGAAAAGGAAAGCTGAGGATAATCTATGAGAGTGTCTGTCTAAATCTGACTGCCCGTCGACCTGCCAGCGAGTCTGTCCTCAATTCTCATGTCTGTTAGTAGGTAAGTCAGTTAGTGCTATATATTCCACAAACAAGTAGCAACTGGGCAGCATCACACAGCAGCATTTGTTTAGTCGGTCACCAGAGAGCACATTACTATTTCAGGAGGAGAGTTAGCAAAGCCTTTGTAAGCAAAAAAATCAGAAAATAATCCACCAGAATAAAACAAGGAGATTAGTGGCACTACTGTCTATAACAAATAGTAGTAGGGTGAGTGTAAGACAAACATCTTATTTCTATAGTACAGGTATATTTAGTGAAACAGGTGAGAGTATAACATACGATAAGCTACAGATACAGATACAAAGTGCGCACAGTTTTGGCCGCAGACAAGACATTGTTGGCCACAGACAAACAGGTCAGCACAGTGTAGACCTCGACTGGTCCAGAGGACAGACAGACAGGCGAAAGGAGGGGCAGACAGAAAAAACAGACAGCCTCACCGATGGATTTCTGCCGCAGCATACCGTGCGGTGGGCCGTGACCTGAGGTGTACTGGCCACGGTCATAGCCGAGGCCCAAGCCTGACGACATCATCCCCATCCCAGACTGATCCCCGAAGTTTGTCTGAAATGCCAAAAAGGAGCATGTGAAAGAAAGGGGAGAGTAACATGAGAATCAATTGTACATGGACGGGCCCGAGAACTAAAATAATAAGCTAGAATTGGTATAAAGCTGCTGAGTTTGGTTTAAATTCTCAGTGGTTTTGTGACCCATTTGTATGACTGGTTAATTGTTAATGTAAAAATATCACTTAAAGGAATACTTCACCCACAAAATAACCCTTTGTATATCAATTAGTGATGCCTTCTCACATACCTCCACAGAAAACAACAAGCATATTGATTTACTGACTGACTGGGGACCATGTTTAACAAAAGCAGAACTATGTCAAAACATCTGTTTATAAACTCTTACACAACTTGTGCAGTATAACCCAAGTCCCATTTATCCAGTTGTATGAACTGAAAGTTAAAGTTATCAATGCTCTCTTCAAAGCCAGACTCCAATTTTATTGAAAATTACTTTACTGCACGAATTTTGTGAGAGTTTGTAAACAGTTAAAAATGGTCCCCAATCAATCAGTAAGTCAATATGTTTGCTGTTTTCACAAATTCAGTGTAACACAGCATCACTTATTGATACATAAATAGACATTTTGCCCATAAATGGACATTCTTTTAATGCAGGTTTAAATGAGTCAAGATAACTTGTTAATGTAGAAATGAGGGGAAATTTAAATAAAAAGCTTGCCCATAAACTGTATAGTAAATACGGACAAACATCTCAATTGCACCCTGGCGTATGGCTGCATTATAGGTCATAAATCCCATTATAAACCCTGCCCCCTCCATGTTGTTTTTTTTGTCATTCAAGTCAGTTCTTATGTTGATGTATGCTCAAGTGTTTTTTTTAATATATATTTGGTTTTAATTAGTTATTTGATGTTAGAAAATGGAGGCGTGGTGTCATGATTGACAGCTTTGTGTGCCAGTCAGTGTGCTTGTGATCAATGGCACTGCTTGCAAATGGTTGGACGGGTGTATGGGCAGGAACCCAATACCACGGAGATCAACACTGCGCAGGCTCTAGATCCAAAGCACAGCAGGTGCACACACACACACACACACACATATAAATATGGTGTAGTACGATTTAGGAGACACACCTCATTGCCATAGAAACTTCGTCCCCTGTCTCTTTTTGGCCCCTGTCCCCGTGTCCCCGGCGCCTCATTGGTGCTGATTGTCTGCTGAGCTGCTGCAAGAATTTCATCTAGTTTATCTGAGAGAAAAAAGACAGAGAAGGAAAGAAAGAGAGAGAGAGACAAAGAAAGAGAGGGACATACAGCAATGAAACAGAAAAATGGACAGCAACAGAATGAAGGAAACAATGTGTGGAAAGGGACACACTTGATGAAGGTGGATGAGATAGAGAGGAAGAGATTCAGGAAACATCCACTGACAAACATGAGCTCCCTTACTCAAAGCCATCTGATAGACTGTCCTCTTCTTCTCTGTAACTTGTGAGGATTCGAATTCTAAAAGAAAAGAAACTCAGAATAAGCCCAATAAGCGACTGAGCTGTGAGTGCCAAGTCATTTTGGACAGACATAAATACAAAGCCTTAAGCGAGAGTGTACCAGAGCATACCTGATTTTTTTTTCCAAGGGGTAGCAGCTGGAAGGAGGACAAAAGGAGACTTAAGTTTTGGCAGGAGCGAAAGTGCGATAGCACTGTTACAGTGAATACTAATCATATTCCCCGGAGCCTGACAAACTGAGTCACCTCGCCAGTTTTTTTCGATCTTCGATGTAAAAGAACGTACATCACACCCACGCTTGGAGACAGCTGAAGCATGCACACTTATGTTACAGTAAATATGCTGCAAACACATACAGTATGCTTCTTGTTGTTACTCTCTAAAACACGAGAAAACACACACACACACACACACACACACAAATGTGGAATTAGTCTGAAGCAGACTCCCACCTCTCTCCACTGTGAAATGGTTAAGATCCGGCCAGCAGTGAAGAGGGGACAAAAGGGACAAAGAAAAGACAGAGTTAGTGGTTAAACCAGTGAACAGTAAAGGGACAAGTCTACAGGGGAGTAAAGAGGAGGAATTAAAGGTGACCCTTTAGTGTTTGCATCCATTGGTGTGAGTGAGCTCGTGTGTGTGGACTGAATAGGAATAGGGTTATCTGCCATACTTATGCTCAAGCCGTTATATTTCATAATGTGTAGTTTATTGAGCTTAATTAAACAGAAATTAAATTTTAATGTCCGATGGTTAAACCAAGCATGAAAGGGTTTTGAACTTGTCTTCATTTCATCTCTCACTTACAACTGCACTGCACAAATCCTTTCAAAAAATAAGCCACAGTTTTGTCGAAACACGTGTCCAAACATATTTAAACAACACTCGCGTGAAATTAGTGTCGGGAAAACAACAATTTGTGGACTTAAGTGCACCGCAGGATCATTTCCATTTTAATGTCCTTGTTATCTTGCAGCATGACTTCTAGGTGAACTGGGACATTGCACCAATCACAGAGGTGAGATAGTTTAATAGGCGTCACAGCTAAATGAATTCTAATGCATTAGAATAAGCATATGGTAGGGGCTGACATGGCTTCATCACACACTGTGCTCCTCTCACCTTGATCCAGAAGGAGGCAAAAGCAAAGAGGATCCAAGTTATTAGGTGTGTGACTGCAAATTAAGCACCTGCATCTCAAGAACAGTATGTTTATTGATAAATGCAGTTTATATTGCATCAAACTGACCCTTTTATTTAAAAGTATAGTCCGACCAATACTGATATTTTTGAGGCAGACATCGATACCGATATTGGGGATTATTTGGGAGAATTTGATTTAAGAATTGTGACCAAGATGCACACTAAGTGAGGAATGTTAATCAGCTTGTAAATGTTTCCTGGTGGATAAACTATGTAATGGTGGCACTGTTTCTGAATGACATAAAACCTTGTTTGGCATGTCAGTACTGCAATTTTTGGTTACTTATTGGCCAAAATACACATGATACAATACATCTCCAATAAGCTACCAGAGCCTGTCTGATTCAGCACTTGTACTGCGGTACTTTTACACCTGTATATCACTGTAGTTACTTTCAGTACCTTGGTATGATGAGGATGAGGCTAGTCTACACAGTTTTATAAAAAAGCAACATAGTTGTTGCTATTTTTTTCCTAAATAATGAACACATTTTCTCTAAAAACCCTGACTTCCTTTCACAGAGGATGTAGCGTTTTGCTTGATTTGCGGTGGAGGAAGAGCACCTTCATGTTTTTTGCTATGAAGCAGTCCAGCAGTCGAGATACAACATCGTATCATCAAATGTAGGTTTTATTTGTAGCACCTTTAAATGGACAGTTCACCCAAAAATACATGTTTTCCTCTTACCCGTAGGGCTGTTTATCAGTCTACATTGTTTTGGTGAGAGTTGCTGAGTGTTGGAGATACCAGTCGTAGAGATGTCTGCCTTGTCTCAATTATAACAGAACTAGATGGAACTCGGCTTGTGGTGCTTAAAGTACCAAAAAATACATTTGACAAACTCAACAGCAATGTCTCTTTCCAGAAATCATGACCTGGTGACTCAAAATAATCCACAGACCTTGTTGTGAGCAGTTTCATGGCAGAGCTATTTTCCTTTCTATTGAGCTACACGAGCCAACTGTGTCACTACTCAGGAGGAAGCGTGCATTCACTCGTGGATGAGAGGCTCATGCTCATGACAGCACAAGATGTAAACTTTAATGGCCCCTCCTTGGCTGAGCTATAACATTAGCTAGCACAGTGGTGCTAGCTGAGTTAGCAGTAGGTGCACACTTCCTCTGCATGGTGATGTGGTTGGCAGTTGTAATACAGGAGTGAGAAAATAGTTCCTACTTTTTGGTGCTACAAGCCACAGGCCAAGTGCCATTATAGTCAAGAGAAGGCAGAGATTGTTACGGCCGGTATCTCAAACTGCACTGCAGGTAAAAGGAAAAAAAAGGATTTTTGATTTTGGGGTGAACTCTCCCTTTAAGTTTGTTGGAGTGATACTCTATGTATTGAGATAATGAATACAGTATCACTGCATACAGAAAGTGCTAGTAGTAAGATAATAGTGTATATAGTGAGCACTGAATGGCAGTAGGGAGGTGGGTCAGGGGTTCAGGGATCTGGCACCTGTGTTTCAAACTGGGCGCTCATGCTTTGTGCTGGTCAGGTGAGGTCACACCACAGAGAGGAGGCAGGTGAGGGGAAGAGATGGGGGAGGAATAAAGCAAGGGGCTAACGTCTACATTCAGGATAAACTAAGTTAGATCCTGGCTTACAGCAGCAGGGCAGGACTCATTGTAGGTGCTGTTGTTTACCGGTTTGGGCAAGTTTAAACCGTCGTTTGTAAGATGAAGTACTGAATCCAGATATAAGACCAGCTGATGAAGCCCTGCAGATTCCCCTCCCCTCCAGCTCCATATGTCATCAGCCTTCATACATCATCAATTGCTCGCTGAGCATTCTCAGAACAGACAGCAGCTATAGCAACGGAAAACACCATAAATGTTTAGAAAATATAAGCCAATCACCAATAAAACAACATTCTGATCTGCAAATGGGGGTGTTGACCCTCACCATGCACTCTCCTCCCACTATTTTGCCTCAAATAGAGATGGCATAAGCATAGCCACACATAATGCTGTTACCATAGCAACAGACCTGGAACAAAGTTGCTTTTTTCTCAAAAAATTACTCATCTCAGTAATTTTATCCTGGGTGTGATTTCTTCCAAATGAATCAAAGATGTTTTCAACAAAAGATCTCGGCAAAAATAATAGTAATAAAAAGACATATTTTGCAACTTGCTCACTAATACATGAAGACCAGACACTTAGCCATGATGTTTGTGGCACCCGGAAAACTTCTCAGGTGACGCCCATTCCCCTGCAGTGTTACCTTGGCAACAAATACTTGCTGAGTGTCTCTGTGTGTGTGTGTGTGTGCTGAGCAGAGGGGCTGGTAGACTGCTCTGTGGGCGCTGGGGTTAAAGCTGTGGGCGGGCCAGGGAGCAGTAGGGGGTGCAGGGGGGTAAGAGGTAAAAGAGGCGGGCAGTGAGAGAGGGATCATAGGGTGGATGGCGACACTTCTCCGGGTGGGGTTACCTGTAGTGGGGGTGCTGGTAGTGACAGTGTGGAACCTCTGAAAGAACAGTGAAATGCATTGAGACCGTCATCCATGGCGGTAGCCAATCTTCTTTTTTCTTTCTCTCTCCATTCTGTCTGTACCTACACTATCTCCCTCTCTACTTTCTTACTGTCTAAATTTAGCCCTCCATCAACTCCCCTTCACACTTTCAGCATCTTTAGCAACCCCCAAACACTCTGGTTTCACACTGTTTCTATCATCCCTCATCATCTCAATCTATTTTTCCCAGTAACGTTTTTTTTTCGTGCTCTTCAGCTTTAAAACACTCTTCTTATTTCTCTACATCTCCTCGTCTGTCTGTTTCTTCATTCTTTGTAATCCTTCTCTTTTCAACCCCAAAAGTTTATCCAAGTCAACTTCTCACCCATCTCCTCCAGTTCTGAAGTCATGGATTTGGATCGTAGGGCGATAGCCGGAGTGCTCAGCCTCTTACTCTGCTGGGGGACTGGAGGGGAAAGAACAAACAAAGGCAGCAGTGGTCAGTCAAGCTGTTCGGTTCAGTTACCACCAGAATTCACCTTCAGTAGCACCCTAGGGTGCAGCAGATAGACTCTTACTTTTCTTCCTCGTACCCTCGTCCATGTCAGGGTTGCGAGTTACCATGACAACCTTAACCATGAGGCTGTTGCCACCTTGCCGGATCATGTTGACGACCTGCCGGTGACCAACCTTCACCACATTCTGACCATTGACCTGGGACACACACACAGACAGAAAGGGACGGAGAGTTTAATAACACAGCTTATTGTTATCTTTATCATCTTTTCTCAATTACATTTATGTTGTTTGGTGTCAAATATGTCAATAAAGGAGATGGAAGTGACAACTGATCGGCTGACAGTAAATATAGAGTGAAATGATTACTTGTAGTTCAGGGTTCTTGAACATTAGCGTCAACTAAACTTTATTTATAAAAACAAATGTTACAATATATAAATTAACAATGGATCTACAACTTACTGAATGTTTAAATCATATGTGTTTGACTAATCCCTCAGTCTTCTAAATCAGAGTTTGGTTTCTAAGTAGGCCTCAGTGTACCCAGGTCGAATACTGAATGCAAAAGGCACTGCACTGCATCCTTTTTCTATATGATTGTTTTGTTGTGTTTTTATATTTTTGTATTTATATGAAACAATGCATGCCTTGACACACAAGTTAAATTTTGGAAAATATTTTGATAATAAAGAAAAAAACATCTCAAAAACCTACAAATACCTTTCAATGCATTTGGTAGAGAGTGAGGCTTTGGGCCACAGAACAAAATATTTTGTTTTGGTACAGATCTGAATCCAGGAGTGAATCCAGAAAAATTAACATCCAGATGCAATTTATTCTTGAAACTAATTGGAAATCAGTCTGACGATGATAAACCACTGGGGGCAAAAGCAAATATTTCAGGGTGATCCAGTGTAGCCAGCAGATATCTGAGCCATGAGTTTCTCTTCTGTGCATTGCTCATTTCGGCTAATCTGAATAAACAGTCAGGTCCATAATTATTTGGACAATGATACAGTTGTCATCATTTTGGCTCTGTACACCACCACAATGGGTTTTAAATTAAACAATGAATACCTGCTTAAAGTGCAGACTCTCAGCTTTCATTTAAGGCTTTTTTCAAAAATGTAGTATGAACCGTGTAGGAATGACAAGCATTTCTTCACACGGTCCCCCAACTTTAAGGGCTCATAAGTATTTGGACAAACTAACATAATCATCAATTAAACAGTCAGTTTTAATACTTGGTTGCAAATCCTTTACAGTCAATGACTGCCTGACGTGTTGGACACATAGGCATCATCAGATGCTGGGTTTCTTCCCTGGTGATGCTCTGCCAGCCCTTTACTGCAGCCGTCTGCACTTCCTGCTTGTGTTTTGGGTGTTTTGCCCTCAGTTTTGGCTTCAGCAAGAGAAACGCATGCTCATTTGGATTCAGGTCAGATGATATGACTTGTCCATTTCAGAACATTCCACTTCTTTGCCTTAAAAATGTCTTTGGTTGCTTTTGCAATATGCTTCAGGTCAATGTCCAACTGCACTGTGAAGCATCGTCCAATGAGTTTTGAAGCATTTGGTTGAATCTGAGCAGATAATGGTGCCCCAAACACTTCAGCTTTCATCCTGCTGCTCTTGTAAGCAAGACAAGACTTCACTAGAATAAATACAGAGGGTTTATCACAAGATGCAAACCATTGGTTAGCCTTAAAAATGGAAGGCCAGATTAGAGTTTGTCAAAAACCATCTAAAAAGCCTGTACAGTTGTGGAACAGCATACTATGGACAGATAAAACAATGATCAACTACCAGAATGATGGGAAGACAAGAGAAGGAAGAAGGGAAGGAACTGCTCATGATCCAAAGCACACCACCTCATCAGTGAAGCATGGTGGAGGTACTGTTATGTCATGGCCATGTATGGCTGCCAGTGGAACTGGTTCTCTTGTATTTATTGATGATGTGACTGCTTACAAGAGCAGCAGGATGAAAGCTGAAGTGTTTGGGGCTACATCATCTGCTCAGATTCAACTAAATGCTTCAAAACTCATTGGATGATGCTTCACAGTGCAGTTGGACAATGACCTGAAGCATATTGCAAAAGCAACCAAAGACATTTTTAAGGCAAAGAAGTGGAATGTTCTGCAATGGCCAAGTCATATCATCTGATCTGAATCCAATTGAGAATGCGTTTCTCTTGCTGAAGCCAAAACTGAGGGCAAAACACCCAAAACACAAGCAGGAAGTGCAGACGGCTGTAGTAAAGGGCTGGCAGAGCATCACCAGGGAAGAAGCCCAGCATCTGGTGATGCCTATGTGTCCAACACGTCAGGCAGTCATTGACTGTAAAGGATTTGCAACCAAGTATTAAAACTGACTGTTTAATTGATGATTATGTTAGTTTGTCCAAATACTTATGAGCCCTTAAGGTCGGGGGACTGTGTGAAGAAATGCTTGTCATTCCTACACGGTTCATACTACATTTTTGAAAAAAGCCTTAAATGAAAGCTGAGAGTCTGCACTTTAAGCAGGTATTCATTGTTTTATTTAAAACCCATTGTGGTGGTGTACAGAGCCAAAATGATGACAACTGTATCATTGTCCAAATAATTATGGACCTGACTGTATATATGCATATGAATGCATATAAATACAGAAAAAGCAATGCAAAGCTAAAACGCTGCACAGTAGCCGATGGGTTCAGAGACTGCATTCCAGCCAAGGCGTTCTGCGTCTTCACATGGACTGTTCTATACTACTTGGACTTCAAACGGAAACCAGAATGCTTCCGATATTAACATCTTGTCCTGTTGCCTACCGATTCTGCATGCATATGCAGATATCTGTTTATGGAGATTAGATGCCGATCAACATTTGTGGACTGTACATCTTTGCTTTATTTTCCGTATAGGTTCAGAAGCCTGTACATAAAATCTGTCAGTGCTTTCACTTCCAACCCATGATGCAGTGGTAACTCATGGCAGCACCTCTATCAGGAAATCCCCCATCCTGAGACCGGCTCTCCAGGCGACGCCCCCCTCGTCCACTGACTCCAGGTACTGCAAGGCAGGGAAGGCCGGGGTGGGGGTGAACTCCTCGATAGGAGTCTGAGCTGGAGACACCATGAAATTATGAGAATGCATTAGCATTGTATGTGATGACAGTATATGACTTGAACTATCATATCTACATCAATAAGTGTGGTTTCAAGGCAGGATGTTTATGTTTATTTCACATTTCTTACCTTTGGCTCCTCTCAGCACAAAGCCGAAACCCTCGCTGTCTTTTTTCTGCAGAAGCACTGTCTTCTCCTTTATTATATAGTCACTAGCAGATAGGAGACAGAGAATGCACAACAAGAGAGAGTTAGAAAAAACACAAGATCGAAATGAAAGACAGAAGACAAGGAGGACATGTACTGCACATCCTTGCACACCTGCATTCAACTGCTACCTTAATCAATAAAGATGATGAGAAAAGTCAAGTTTTAAAATCCATAAATCAAAATATGTTTCCTGCTGATGCTACTTTTCCCTTCCCCAGCTACACCACTGATCTCCACTGCTGTCTGCTTCCTACTTCCTGTATCCCTCTCTGATGACATCACCACCAGTACTAAGCACAAACTCATCTCAACAGCACTGGATTAAAACTGGATCCCCTGTGTGTACATGTGGTTATTTACATATACATGTGGTTATTTACATATACGTGCATATACTTACTCATATACGTTTATCCTTTATTACATTCATATTCAGGGTTTTTTTGTCAATGACTTATCTTCAAATGACAATACATTGTGAACTCCTGTTCATATTACTGCTCCTAATATTTCCCCTTTACCTTCTGTTATTTATACATTGTTAAAATATTTGACAATAAAGTTTATAAAAGGGTACTGTAATGACATACTATTTGTCTATTAAACTCCAAAATAGGTGATTATCATCCAACTCTAATACAATGAAGATGATAGAGTTAATTTCATTTACATTTTTAGTGTAGAACTCATCTTTACAACAATAGATTAAGGTTGTGGTGACAATTGGAAGCCTGATTTCACAGATATTCTATGTACCATTTAATATGTTACTGTTTAATAGTAATCTATTATTTTTTATCAGAAATAGTAGCAGTCATATTAATAGCAGTAGCAGTAATGTAAAGTGTCCCATCTTTGTTGAAGTGAAAACTGTTGTTGTCTGAAATAAAAACTATAAATACTTCAGAGTGGTCAAATGTAAAAACTGAATATTGATTTTAAAAATACTGCAATTCCAATTTAAAACCACTGCTATCAGTCTTTAAAATTCTACATCAGTCAAACTCCAACCAACACCAACTGTGATTTATGCCACATTCCCAACAGTACAGTGGTGACTTAAACAGTGTTTTGCTATGCTTCACTTTGCTGTATGTTTTTGACAGTGAGCCCAGAGCTTGTTTCTAGCAGAACCTCACTGAAGAAGAGATGCTATATACAGTATGATGGCGCTGCTTGTTGCCTAAGCAACAGCTAGATTTGGACGCAGGGAAACTTGGTTGGGTAGGTCCACACCAGAGCCAAGCCATGTGCTGGTACGCGAGTAGTCAGTGACAGCAGAGAACAGGCACTGTATGCTCACACATGGAGTCTGTACAGTGTAGTAGACTTTCTGGGCAATATGCAACTGCTGGTTAAATGTTACTAAAAATATTTAATCGATAATTGTACTCAAGCACAATTTTAGGGTACTAGAGTATTTCCATGTTATGCCATCTCTTTGCTCAGCTGAATTTAAGATGGAAATAATTGCAGCTATAGTTGTAATTCACTGCTGGGATTAAGATTTTATGTTAAAAAGATTATAAAATACAATGTATTGTTTAGGATTAAACCCGTGGTTCCAAACAAATTTGGCTTGGGACCACTTTCACAAAGAAGTGTCTGGTTAAGGCCTCTTATCATGTTTCAGATGTCTGTGTGTTGATACCAAAGGGACATTCACCTCTAAACTTCTTGGATGCTTTTAGTTAAATAACCATCCAAAGTTTATATAGGTAAATGTATCCAACAATCAAAAAAAAAAAAGATTAGATAAAAGTCAAATGCAAATTTGTGTAGTAAAACTTTCCATTGATTTTATCCCTCAGATGTATCTTGTAGCCCCTTGAAGGAAACTAACCACTAGGTTTAACTATCTAACTGTATATAAAGTGGTTAAAACTCTCAACCAGCTACAACTTTAAAATAATATTTATGCAAAAATGGTTATGGCTGCTTAAAGCGCTTTTACCGACCTCACATTCACCCATTCATGCACTAGTGGCTGAGGCTACCACACAGGGTGCTACCTGCTACTCAGTTAAATCAGTTTAATACTCTCACACTGATGGCTGCCTACGCACTCACAATGTAGGGTTCAATATCTTGCCCAAGGACACTCTGACATGCAGACTGGAGTAGTCAGGGCTCAAACCGCCAATCTTCTGATTAGTGGATGACCTGCTCTAACTCCTGATTCACAGCCTGCCCAAGCCTGGTTCAGTAATAACAATCCAATAATGTCACATAATAAGATATTGGTTGCAGGAGCCATTTTCCTGCAGAATGAGTGTTTTTACTTTTGATTATTTATTTCATTTGCTGATTTGCTAATAATGCTTTTAACTTATATAGGGTGGTATAGGGTGCCATCCCCCTGAACCAAGCAGGCTGAAAGATCATGTATGCCTACCTGTATTTTACTGTTTATCTATCTATCTATCTATCTATCTATCCTACAGATGTTCAGAGCATATCTATGATTCAGGATTGCCTGCACACAGCTCTCAACATGGAGGTGCAGCCATGCACCTTTAGCTGCTAGCCGTCACCTCAGCATACCAGACTTTGAATACAGGACTTGCAATGGAATATTTTTACACTGTACCTCTTCCATCAGTGTATGCAACTCTACAAGATAAGTAAGGCAGAAAAGATTGAATTACAGTATTTCAATTCACACATTTTGACTGGCTTATGCTACATTTAAAAACAAACATAAAAGCTACCATTAAATGCTTGAGAAGGTGTTCAAAAATATTTTGTTGTGTTTTCTGTGCCCACGACAAGAGACTTTTCTTATCCTAATAGCATGAGAGATGAGACACGTCACACACGGTTGGTTTAAGTTCAATTTAGACCAGTTTGGTGTAAGAAACAGCACCCCCTCTCAGGGCCGCTGACCTCTAATGGACTCCTGTCTTGTTATGAATGGAAAGAACCTCTAAACAACCGTTCAGTCAGTCAGTGAGTCAGAAGGGTATATATACCGTGTCAGCTGTAACATACTGTAACCACACGCTGATAATCCCATCGTGCACCAAAATAGTCCCAGCCCACTCCATCTGTTCATCCCTCTCTTTCTCTCTTCACTGGCTTTTTTCCTCTTTACATTTTTCTATCCTGATGGCCCCGCCTACTCCGTACCACTCATCACACCGGCTGCCTTCACTTGTTCTTCAAACTTGTACTCATTTTTCTCTAATCACATTTCCCCCTCATGATCTTTTTCACTCAGTCTATTGAGTGTATGATGCTCTCCACAGGCTGTGAGAGCCTCTCTGTCTCTGCCAAGGCTCGGCCTCTTTGTTATTCTTGTCCTCTTCTGTCCATCTCTGTTGCCCAGCCCAGACCTCAAACGCTCTGAGGAACCAAGTGAATACATGAGCAGAGACTGTACGTACAAACACATTCACACAAATTTCAAGGCATGACTGCAGTGCAAGTACATGGGAATTAGGTACAAAGTGCTGTAAACACACACGTCGCATTCTCCCTGCAGCTGTTAGTCTGCCCTGTCTCTGCAGGCAACACAAGCAACAAGTTGCTCAATGAAAGTTCAGCATGTGTGCAGGCAGTGAACATAGCAGCTCAGAAAACCTAACTTTAATATCACTGTACATGTAATGGATTACTACTCCAATATGAAGTTATGAAGTTTCCTAGTTTTAAACAACCTTTATTTGAGGTGTAGCCTGATTAAATGCCTTAAACAAAACACCTGAAGAACTACTACATCCATCTCTGGGGTAAATGATAAACTCTGAAGTCGTCATCCTGACTGTTTTTGTTTTGTTTTGTTTTGTTTTGTTTTTTCATTTCAAGTGCCTGGTCAGCAATATGAACTCATCAGAACGACAAACCACTATGAGAGGTGATACCAAAGCAGCAGAAAATGCAGAGTGCCTGATGAAAAATTTGAGGACCCCTGCATAGATGCAACCAGAGCCTTTTCCACAGCCAACAATCAGCGAGAACAAAGTGACACTTGCAAAGCCAAGTCATTCGCGATATGAACAAATTAATTTTGGCAACCACAGGTGCCTGTGTTATGAATATTGGTCTTTGTAAGATGTGTCAGATCATATCTGTCATGTTTATGCTGTACTACATATCCATATTCACTCACAGTGTCTGTCTGTGCCTGTGTGTCCACATACAAAGCAATATTCCCTGGATTCCCATCCAACCAGCGCCAGCAACTAACTCAGGCTTTGCTGTCTCCAAGGATGTCATCACCTTTATGTGACGTGAGCTGTGTCCCAGTTCAGTGGCTGGATCTTCTGAAGTCCACATAATTTCTGGATTGAATGCCCATCGAATCAAGCGAAGACATGCAGCCTTCATTTGCCTGTGTGCATCCTCAGAAGCCCCCATTGTCGCTAAATCGGCTGTGCACTGGTCAGCTGTCTAACTGAGTGTGAAGGCAATCTTTTTAACTTATAAAGTCAGGAAATATTATATGACCGGATCATATTTGGCATGTGTTGCATTCAGATAGTCATCAGAGTGTATTACATATACAGTATTACATGCTCAAACAAAAACAAAAGGAAGATGCCATTAGTAGCAGGGTATTCGTAGCCAACAACTCTATTGACACCTGCAATAAAGTAGCCAATGTGGCTATTCACACCTGGGTGAATATAGCATCATGGTAGATGCTGTTAGCACCCAAGCATTCATAGCAACGATGCTATTTACACCAGGCATGGAATAGTTGCTATCTAAACCAGGGCTAAATTCCTGGGTGTCCTAGCAACATCGAAATATAGCTTTATACAGCCCAAAACTGAAAGTAATAAGTCAGCTAAGTCTTACAACAATAAGCCAATGCTGACACACACACAGGGCTTAAACCCCAGTCTCCTGTGTGAAAGTCCTGTGCTTGCCCTAATCATCCACCACATTCTACTCCTTCCATGGACTGTGTCACTCTCTATTCTATGTCACTGACTTTCTGGCAGGACATTTGTGAGTTTTTTCTCATAAATTTACAACCTTAATCACAGAGAATATC